TGTATTAGGAAAACAACCTCTGAGCCCCTGCTGACAGGACACTTTCTCCAAGTGCTATTAATTAGAATGTGTTATTAGCTAACAGCGGGGAGCAGACACCCTTCGCATGTTAACTAAAGTGCAATCGCCATTTAGCTGGTGGGGCTTGCTCGGTCTTTAAAACTGTCTTAATCATTAGCGAATTAGTTAAACTGTAACATCCCGAGATAAAAATAATCACAGGTGTCATTGGGAACAGGCTTGAACTGGACTGGTCATCAGACGTTCTCCGTATAGTCAGTGCTGACTGTGGGGATCGCTGCAATTGCAGCCACTTTCAACCTGCCCTCCCAAGGCTGCACAGCATCTTGGGAGCAGTGCCATGGGCGTTGTCTCTGCTTTGTGCTGAAGGAGGGTGTGAGGGGGTAGTACCGGCAGCTTCATCTTCAACTCTCACTCACCCAGGATTTTACAGCATATAGTTGTACTTCGTGTACTAATGTGTTTTATTTTCTTATTGATTATTAATGACTCTACCTTGAGAGATTTTTGAAATGACAGTAAAGCTCAGCCGAGCCTCCTTGGTAGATCTGGAAGGATTGCTTCAATATCAGCTCAGAGATTGTGAGCAGGGCTGGCATTTTCATTTAAGGGTGTTTTCTAAACAAAAATATGTGCACGCGTGTGCGTGTGCGTGTGTAAGATACACACAGAGACGGAGAATAATGTGTGTGTATATGCATGTAAGATATATGCATGTAAGATAGAATATGTGTGTTTTCTGCATATCAAAAAAAATTTGTCACATTTGCCTTTATGAGTCTGCCTTCCTTATTTCACTGAGTAAGATGATCCCCATTTCATCTGTTTTCCTGCAAATGATGTGTTCAATTCTCCTTTAAGGTGGAAATAATACTCCAGCAAATGTGCTTGTGTGTGTCATGTTTTTTTTTTTTTAATCCATTTTTTTTAAGGATATCTAGGGTATTTCCTTATCTTGGCCTTTGTGAATACTCCTGTACAAACATGGGTATACACACACACACACACACACACACACACACATATTTATCTCTGAGATAGTCTTAGATTCCATCTTGTCTGGACTCAGGAGCAGGGTAGCTGGATCAGTATTTTATTTATTTTTTTTGACAAATACTCATTGTCACGGTGTTTGCATTAATGCACATTCTCGCAAGGAGTGTATAAGAGATGCTTTTCCCACACCCTTCCCAGCACCGGTGGTTATCTCTGCCTTGGATAAGATGCAATGCCACTGTAGTTTTGATTAAACATTTTTCACATCTTTATTTGTTGGGCATTTGTATTTCTTCTTAAAACTTAGTTTGCAGGGACTCAGCAGCTAAGGGCACTTGCTGCTCTTGCTGAATTTTGTTCTCAGAGCACACATGGTGGCTCAGAACTGTAACTCCAGTTCCAGGGGATCCAATGCCTTCTTCTGGCCTCTGTGGGCACCAGACACGCACAAACACACATGCAGGGAAAAGCTCGTGCACGTAAATGTGTAACTTCCTTATGGGATTTTCATACATCCTCCATCTTAACTTGCCATCCCTGTTCCCCGGCCCCCTTTGTCAGCTTTTCCCCTTTGGCTCCAGCATTCCCCTTTCCAGTTCATGTTCCATGTAATTGGCCATCCTCCCAGTGCCTTTCCCTGAAAGTCTCCTTTCCCCCATCTCACTGGCACCTTTCTAGGTTCCTGGCCTTTGCTGTCCTTATCCCCATCTAGATACACATATTAAATTGCTAACGCTATAGTCTACAGATGAAAGAGAACAGAGGTTATTTGTCCTTTTGAGCCTTGATTACCTTGCTTTATTTGTCATTATACTACAGATTTAATTTTTTTTATGCACAAACAAAATTCCATCAACCCCCACTACTCAAATGAGCTAATTTTCCTAAAGAAGGTTGGACCCTTTTGTACTTTCCATAGTGTATAGATGGAAGTTCAGAACCATCTGTTATGAACAGACTCCGTACATCTCTTGCAAATCCACATTCAACATTCCAACCCCAAATTTAGTTAGCTACTTTGGCATGGTCGATAATAGAGGTATAATGAGGTCTTATGTGGAGGACCCTAATCTAATACATATACTCTTCCATTATAATAAGATTTCTAAGATTTCGCATTGTTCTTCAACTTGCAGATCCATTTCTTGTCTCAGCATGCATCTCTGGGAGAAGGTAACCTGTCTCTCATTTCTTTTGTATTGTTAGAAGCAGAGTACCTGATGAAGAAAAATAAGAGAATATGTTCAAGTGGAGAACAGACATTTGCTTTATAAAATTGAAGGCCAAGACTGTTGGAAATTATTTAAAAATTTTTATATTTCTTTCTCTTGCTGTGTGTGTGCACGTGTGTACACATGAGCATGTCACAACGAACATATGGAGGTCAAAGAACAAGTTATGGGAGTTGGTTCTCTCCTTCCACCATGTGGCTCTAGGGATGGAACTTAGTTCATCAGACTTAGTGGTAAGTGCATTTACCCATGAAGCATCTCACCAGCTCTGAAACTGTATTTGGTGATTAATTTTTTATGTTCTTTTGGGGCTATGTATTAGTCAGGGTTCTCTAGAGTAACAGGAACTATAGAATGAAACTCTCTATGAAAAGGACTTCTTAAAAGAATGACTTACAGGGTTGTGGTCCAGCTAATCCAACAGTGGCTGCCTATGAGTGGAGGGTTCAAGAATCCAGAAGTTGCTCAGTCCATGAGGCTGGATGTCTCAGCGGGTCTTCTGCTGGACTCCTGAGGAAGTATATGCTCTAATGCCAGTGAAGGAATGGACTTCCTAGTGAGGTAAAGCAAGTAGGCAAAGTGCAAAATTTTTCTTCTTTCATGTCCTCATGTAGGCTTCCAGAAGAAGGCATGACCCAGATTAGAGGTGTGTCTTCCCATCTCAAAGATCTGGATTAGAAGTAGATTTCCCACTTCAAAAATGTCTCACAGGTGTGCCCTACTTGGTGGGGGGAGTTAGTTAATTCCAGATGTATTCAGGCTCACAACCAAGAATACCCATCACTGGTTATAATTTAGAAATGGCTTGTGGAACTAAGTAACATTGCTTATTTTATTCCCATTTGTCTCTCCATGAATTTTTTTTCCTAAACAAAATTTTACAGGCTTATTTTAAGTGTGTGTGTGTGTGTGTGTGTGTGTGTGTGTGTGTGTGTGCAGTTCCCTGCAGAGGCCAGAGGAGTGGGATCCCTGGGCCTAGAGTTGCAGGCAGCTGAGGCTGCTATGCTGCCTCAGAGTGCTGGGAACTGAACCTGTGTCCTCTGTAAGAAAGGCAACTGCTCTTAATTGCTGGGCCATTTCTTAAATCCTTTAAATTTTTTTTCAAACATCTTTTTAACAGACTTATTTTAATTATCTGTTTGTGTGTATGTTGAATATTACTTTCAACATATTTCAAAATGTTACTTTCAATACTTAGACTAACAATAAGTGGTCATTGAATTTATAGTGAATACTGTTTCATTTTAACAATAAGAAATATACATCTATTAATAGTCAGGATAGTCACAAAAATGCATAACCCTGTACATTTCCCATTTTCCTCATATTTTCTTCCTTCCTTCCTCCCTCCCTCCCTCCCTCCCTCCCTCCCTCCCTCCCTCCCTCCTTTCTTTCTTTCTTTCTTTCTTTCTTTCTTTCTTTTTTTCTTTCTTTCTTTCTTTCTTCTTTCCTTCTTTCTTTTTATAATGCTTGGCTTGTGTATACAGAATTGGTAGTATATAGAACTGGGTCACACCCCTAGCTCCCCATACTTCTCTTTGAGATAAATTTGTAAAACAACTGAGGATTTGATAAGTTTAATTTGTCAAGAATATCAGTGTATCATCAAGTGTATTTGTTAATAACTATACATAGTAACCACAATCCAGAAAAAAGTGGCTTAACATTTTGTGTTTGTAGACACTATAGATTTTGAAAGTTAAAGTTATATTTTTTGTTGCAGTTGTTTATAATAATATTTAAAATATTAAAAATATATTACTTTAATATTACTTTAAGACAAGCTTAATAATTCTTAATATTACTTTAAGACAAGCTTTTTTACAGGATGTGGAATAAAAGTGGTGATAAAAGCACAGTAAAATTTACAACTTAAAGAAGAGTTTGTGCGTATTCCTCACAATGATAGCAGACATATGAAAAAAGAGACGTAGAGGAAAGGCTTATTTACGTGCATGTGTTTCTTGCTGGTTTTTCAGTCACTGATGGTAACAAATTACTAATGTTATTGGGTTGAATGTTACCGAATGTTACTGAATATAATACAGTACTTACTTTTACATGTAATTATTGTGCAGGTAAACTGTTGTGTGTGTATGTGTTCATATGTGTGTATTTTCGTGTGCACGTGCATGCAGGCCACGGTGCATGTGAGGGTCAGAACACAACTTTGTTAGTTGGTTCTTGCCTTTTACCTTTCCATGGCCTCTAGCAATAGAATCCAGACCTTCAGGCCTATGGGGCAAATACTTTTATTCATCTTGTCAGCCCTGAGAACAGTACCTTTACTAGCAATATGTACCGTATTCTGAGAAGCTACATCATTGTCACGCAAATGTAAGATGAGAAAGTTTAAAGTTACATTAAAAGTCTGAAGATCCTGAGCGGCAGTTCTGCCTTCTCCTTTGACGGCACTTATTTATGTTTCTGAGACCTTTGAGTCTTAGTCCTGTGATGAGAGTGCAGCTGACTGAGAACAGGAGTCATGTTTCCAGCCTTTGTACTGTTCCCAGGACTTGAAAATACCCTGCTCATGACAGGTGTTGAAATAAAAAGCTATTGAATTAAGTGTATTTCATTAAAAGGAATCATTTCTCCTCCTCCACTCCTAGCCTTTGTTAGTTAGAACTGATAGCAAAAGCAACTGCCACGCAGAAGTAACACTTGAGCTTAAAGTACAGTTCATTTTTTATCTCTAAAATAAGAATAAGAAAAATAAAACTTTGAGAAAAAACATGCATAGTAAACCAATACAGTTTAATATATTTTTTTTTTATTAATGTGGGTACTTTTCATATAAACTTAAGTAGCACCAAAGCATTCAGTAATATCTTTATGGGCAAAAAAAAAAAAAAAAAAAAAAAAAAAAAAGTAGTTGAATTTAGTAAGTTTTTACCTTGAGGCCAGTTTCCTTTTATGATAATTTTTTAACGTACACCAAGTTAGAAATCAATACAAAGGCTGGCTGAGTGACCAGAGTAACTGGCAATAAACCTTCCTCCATGTTTTCCTAATACAGAATTTTAGTGAAAAATCATACGTATAGGCACCTCACCCTTTATACATTGTCCCGCTTAGGACACAGATATTACCTAACAGTTTTTTTATCTGCTACACATGCAACAAGCTGACGAAATCATGTCTGGTGCATATACATTGGTGTATAACATTTTTATAATTTTTAAGAATTTTAAACAAGGTTTGATTTTTGTCCTGCTAGTATAATCCTTATATATATATATTACATTTGAATACAACATACAGTGTTTTATTTTGTATTTGATATTCTCTAGAGAAATAATATTATACATAGATCCCTTGACATAACATAACTTAGACAAAAACACATCTTAAAAACAAAATAAAAAATCTTACAGAATAACCTGGAAATATTATACTTAGATTTAGGAGTTAGATTAGGGATCTCCCGTGGTATTTTATCATGACTTGTTTTGTGATTTTTTTTTCCCCTTGAAGTAAGAAAATATTATCTTGAACTTTTAAACTCCTTTTATTTTAAAGAACAACTTGAGCTGTGTTCTATGCCACCAAGTTTACCTTGACAGCATTTCTGTGAACACCAACTCTAGGTAGCTGTGTGGAGCACCCTCTATGCTAGGTCCTATCATTAGCGCTTGACAGTTGCTCCTCAGGACAGTTTGCTGAGGTAGGAAAGGATCGATATACATCTTCAGAAGGTGCAGCTGAAGGCAAGCGAAAGGCAAGTGATTCCCTTGTCCTTCTTACCTCGCCGTTAGACTGTTAAGCTCCCTAACAATGCCGCACTACAGCTCAGAATGCATTGCAGAGTAGACCATGCCTAGGAAGGCTGGGGCTAGAAATTTAGACAAAACCTTTTCCTGAGTGCCTGGACAGCAGACAATAACACGGTGCAGCAGTTATGTGGCCAGACCAGGAAGTCTAGTCGTACTTTAGACAACAGGAGAGAAAAATCACATTTGTCTGAAGATATTGCTACAAAAATGATACCTAGAAATTGAGTGTTCAGACTCACCTCTAATTTTCCTGGAAATTAATGCCAGTAGAGCCATTTTTGTTATTTACTACTGAAGGCCAATAGTTTAAGTATGATGATGATGATGATGATGATGATGATGATGATGATGATGAGGATGATGTTAACAAGTACATTGGTCATCGCTATATAACGCTTTGTTTACTTTTTTGTTTCCCTTTAAGATTGCCTCAGCACATGCAGAGAAGTGCTCATTGATCCTGGTGGTTCTGTATCCTCAGGTGGAGTTTTAAACTGCATCTACAATGAGTATTCATGCATGTTTTTCTTGGCATTATTCCCTAAAACAATAGGGCATGATGGCTGTTTGCATAGTGTTTCTGTTGTCTTTTAAGTGACTTAGGGATGATTTAGGATGAAGGGAGGGTGCCCCATGTTATCTAAGGCCTTGAGCATCTATTGATCTTGGTAGGCTCAGTGGTGAATGGGGGATCTCAGCCAGTAGGACAATGGAGGATAATTACATTTCTCTGAGACAGAAAACTACAGGATTGGAATACCTTGAGTTTGGGGTCAGTTAAAATAAGTAGTTATAACTTAAACTGATCTTTGGGGTTCCTTTGGATAACTTTACTAATTTGTTCTTTCAGAGAATGGGGCCAGGGACCATGATTTGATAGCAAGCACATTCATCCATGTAAAAGTATTAAGTATTGGAACTTTGAGCTTCTCAGAGGCTGTTAGCTTTCTGTAGTAGAGGATAAGAGCCCCTGCCCTACTCAGAGATCTTCATTTTTATTCTGAATCCACAGCCTAGCATAAAAACTCCTCTGAACTACTTCAGCTTACTTTTGACTGACTCCTGAAGTTTTAAGTAAAACAAACAACAAACAAACAAACAAAAAACCCAAACAAACCCCAAATTGTTCCCAAAGGAGAAAAAAAAATCAATGTTAAAAAAAAAAAACAACCCAGAAATAATTTCATGTTGGTTTAGACTGAACAAGTTTGACCAAGAAAAAACAAACAAATACTGGAAATACCATGGTGGCACATGCCTGTAGTTCCACACCTTGGAGGCAGAAGGAGGGGGATCACCACCAGTTTGAGGCCAGTCTTGACTTCATAACAGTTCCAGATCACAGCAGTTTACATAAACTCTTAAACAGAGTTTAAGAGAGGGGCAGGATAGTGAAGGGAACAAGGACTATTTCTAACAGGAACTCAATGACTGGCTCTTTGGCCTCCCCACCCCCCAAGGGAGGAGCAGTCCTGTTAGGCCACAGAGGAGAGCTTTGCAGCCAGTCCTGAAGATACCTGATAAAACAGGATCAGATGAATGGGGAGGAGGTCCCCCCTATCAGTGGACTTGGCAAGGGGCATGGTGGAGATGAGGGAGGGAGGGAGGGAGGGGCTGGGAGGGAATGAGAAATCGGGACATGGCTGGGATACAGAGTTAATAAAATGTAACTGATAAGAAAAAAATAAAATAAAAAAAAGAGAGAGGGGCAGGGAAAGAAGGAGGGAGGCAGGAAAGAAGGAAGGGATGGACAGAAAGGAGAAAAAGGAAAAAAAACCCACAGGTGTTCAGAGAGATTTTTCACATCTCAGAAGTACTTTTTTTTTTTAAAGGCGCCTTTCCCTGGGTGGGTTTGGCAGCACATATCTGGAATCCTGCGCTTGAGAAGTTGGGGAAGGAGTTCAAGAGCCCAGCCTAGGCGCATGAGACCTTGACCCCTTCCCCAAAAGGAAAAATTAAGTGTTTTTCTTCAACACACATTTGTCTATCCATCCGTCTGTCCATCCATCTATCATCATCCAGCCATAAATGATTGATTTGCTCTACTTTGTGGGAAAACAGCTTGAAGACATTTCAGTTGCCTGCTAACTATCAGACCTGTGAACTTAACTGTAATTAGGGACAGTATGTCCACTCTGCCTGCACAGGCGAGGTTGTTAGACTGCCCTGGACACACTGGTAACACACAACAGATGCTAGTGCCAGCAGTAGGGGTGTTAATATAGGACCTGCACGTGGTAAAGACAAAGAGAAACAGGTGAAGGGGTGACTGTCACATATCAGGGAACCCCTGTGGCTGTGTCCAGAGAAGTTAAAGAGGAGAGGAGTTTTTATTAGGTCTGAGAACAAACTTCTTTTGAGAAACCATAATTAAAAAACTTTTAAACATTTTTTTTTAACAGTTCAATACTTTACTACAGATTTCCCTGTGAGGTTGATCCAAGTTGTTAGAGTTTGGAGGCAATATGCAAAATGCCTGACTCCTCATGGTTTGAACATGTCTTATAACACCTCAGAGAAAAATGCTACAGGCAATTTAAAAACAAGTGAAGCGCAACAGAAAGGACCAAAGCAGAGCTGAGCTAACGTGGCTTAGACACTAATATTACCTGTTAATCTAGGCTCTGCAGATGGGGGAAAAAAAACCCTGAGAGTTTAACCCTGCAAAATACATCCAAGAAACTACAATGTTTTTCTGTCACCATAGGAAGATTTTGGAATCTACAAAAACGAGTTTTTCCATCACAAATATAGTTTAACCTACCCAGCTGTTCTATGTAAAAAAAAAAAAATGCAGAAAATAGTTTGAGGCGAAACACAAACTCTTAATTACATGTGAGAGAAACTGAAGAAGGGTGACAGAAAAGTCAGTTTGAATGTGAGCCTTGATGAGACCAGCCATATGTCCTTTAGCACTGGGTCTGTGGAGAAGAAAAGGCCAATTTAACATGTAATGTATATATACATACATACATACATACATACATACATATATATATATATGTATATATATACATATATATGTATGTATATATACACATATATATACACATATTTAACATGTAATGTATATATACATACATACATATATATATGTATGTATGTATGTATGTATGTATGTATATATCTATAATCAGTTGTAGCTTTAGGTTTCTTAGTCACATGCTTTAAAAAACAACGATACGTCAAAAGTACCTCAATTTCAGTTGAAGAGAATGAACTTCCCTTGTAGCAAAATAACAGCCTCTTTAGTTTACTTAATTAGTAGTTTTACCATCAAAAATAGATTCTCTAAGTTAAAAAAAAAATACTTTCTTTGGTAATATTCGACATTTCTAATCAGAGTCTGTACACATTCTTCAAAAGGAACGAAACAATACTCTTGGGTTTAGATGTACAGTTGTGAAGAATCGGTTAAGAGGGAACACGTGGTTCCCTTCTCGTCCGTTCCTGGGGGTTTAGGCAGGTGATCCTCACGCTGTCTCGGAAGCCCCCAGGAATTCCATTTGTACAGCAGCTTTGCGTGGGGGAGCCGAACCGCTCTTCTTCCGGAATTCTGCAGCGATTTCCTCAAAAGACTTTCCTTTGGTTTCTGGAACTTTAAAAAACGTAAACAGAGTGAAGGCCAGGACCACGCCAGCAAAGAGGAAGAACACGTAAGGCCCGCAGAAGTCCTGCAAGAGAGCAAAGAGTCGGTCAGCAGCCGCGCGGCCAGCCTGGTGCTCTGCGGGCTTGCACAGCGTGGGTGCTTACCGCAATGTACTGGAAGCAGAGGGCGATGATGAAATTGCAGAACCAGTTGCTGAAGGCAGCCAGTGCCAGAGCGGTGGGACGGGGTCCTTGGCTGAAAAATTCAGCAACCATGAACCAAGGGATTGGACCCGGCCCGATCTCAAAGAAACTGACAAAGAGGAAGATGGCTGTCATGCTGACGTAACTCATCCAGGAGAATTTATCCTGAAGACAAAGAGAACCTCGTTAACTGGGACTGGCAGCCGTTGGCTGTGGCCTCCTGGAGTCGGGCAGCTTCTGGGTTCTCTCAGGCTGAGTTCAGAGGTGGGCGCAGCTCATCTTCATCGTGTGTTTGTTTCCCATCAAGTTTAAATTACTCTGGTTTGAGACAAGTTTGCCCAACCCAAATCTTGCCTCTGTGTTTGGAGATCCTCCCAGCCAATCCCTTACACTAGGACCTTTTGATTTTTGTTCCATAGTCACTCTTTCCCAGTGACAAGACCCAGAACCCTGCAGTCCTCTTACCAAGACGGCCAGGTGAGGTTTGTGACTCCCTATGAAGTTCTGGATGGGGACACTGGGCTGAGAGGGAGGTTAAGGGGCCTGCTCACGGTTATAGCTGCAGGTCGCCCCAGAACCTGAGCTCTGACCATGGAGCCATACTACTGCCCCGGATAACGCATGACAGGCTGGTACTTGAGTTTCCAAATCCAAGAGCATACTTCCCCTCGCCTTTACAGTCCTCCTCTTCCTTTATTTCATAAGCTAGTCTCAAGCGCCTTGCACCTACCTTTAACCCGGAGGCCAGGGATGTTTGCCTGTGATTAAAGATACTAGTCCAGGTACCAAACTCACCAGCAGCACGAGTCCCACCGACATGAAGATGGTGCAGAAAAACATGCCAATCATCCCAGCTAGGAACAGGGAGCGGCGCCCTGCCTTCTCCACAAGCAGCACCTAGGAGAGTTTCCACAACAGGATCTCGGCACTCTGAGCAAGCCATCATGACCTTAGGCTTACCCCGCTTGCCGCCTTCATGCATACAGTGGGGCAAGGCAGTGCTGTGGCCCCTTTTCACAGATGTGCAGCTTATGTGTGATGGTGGCGCTGGTCTCAGCAGACGTGGAAGTTAAACTTTGGCTTAGTGTGACCGGACTGATTTGAGAAGTTCAGCCTTGTGATAGATCTAGTGTTTCCACACAGTAGTGAGAGGCTATACATCTTGGTGCCTCCTAAGACTACAGTGAGGTTATGAAAGATCTACGTTTGCCAGGGCTGGGGTGATTTTCAGGATTCAGCCATTCTTCTCCAACTCCTCAGTGCTTAATAAAGTCACGTTATGACTGCTTACCTGGTAACATACAGAATCTGATCACTGTACCAAAATAGTGAGCTCTGTATTTTCCTGGTGTGCCTATATGTATGTTGTGGGAGTAAACTGTGTATTTGAAAAGAGAAGGTATCGCAGCAAGATATCAGAGCGCTTCTTCATCCTGAGGGGGCCTGTCATTGATTCTTGTGAGTTACGGGCCTTTGTATCAACTGGTAAGATTTATTATTAACCAAGATCAACATTTGTTGACTGGAGTCTGACGCATAGGATCTTGTCAATGCTGGTTACAAACACACACACACACACACACACACACACACACACACACAGAGACACACAGACACCACCCCCATAATGTCCTATCTCCAGGAGTAAATTGGCTATGATCATCAATCTAAGAAAGTCAACAGCAAGCCAACACCCACAGCATGCTGAGCTCTGTGTGTAAAGACATCTGCGGAGCATTTGTTTTCACCTGCAGTGAAAGCCCTCTTCACCTCAGAGGCACACTTATATCAGGGTTTCAGATCACTCAAGAAAGGACAAGCCAAGAGCCTACGTTTAATTACTGAAAAGTAAGCAAGAAAAAAGTTCCTATATATTTATTTAACATTATTATTTAATTTTTTGTGTAGTCTTTTATGCTCATGTATGTCTGTGTACCACATTCTTTCATTGCACACAGACATAAGAAGAGGGCATCGGATTGGAACTGGAGTTAAAGGAGGCCAGGAGCTGCTGTGTGGCTGCTGGGAACTGAACTCAAGTCTCCTAGAAGAGCATGCAGTGCTTTTAGCCACTGGGCAATCTTTCTAGCCCTCTTACACATTTAAAAAAATTCTCTCATATACTACATCCTGACTACAGTTTTCCCTCCCTCCATTACCCCAGTCTCTCTCTCCAACTTCCCTCTCCTCCAGATCCATGCCCCCACTCAGAAAAGAGCAGGCGGCCTCCCAGGGACATCAACCAAATATGGCATAACAAGTTACAATATGACCCAGGCACATACCATCACATCAAGGCTGGACAAGGCAACCCAATAAAAAGAAAAGGGTTCCTCAAGTAGGCAAAAGAGTCAGGGACATACCCCTGCTTCCACTGTTAGGAATCTCATAAGAACAACATGCTGCTCAGCCATATATATGCAGAGAGGACCTAGGTCAGACTCCTACAGAGTCCCAGTCAGTTGATTCTGTGGGCTGTAGTCTCATGGTCTCGTGGTGTCCTTGGCCACTCTGGTCTCTCTGCTTTCCCCCACTTCCTCCACAGGATTCCTGAGCTCCCCCTGACGTTTGACCGTTTATAGATTTTTGATTCTTTCAAAGCTGGCGGGATGATACCTGGTGTCGACATGGTTTATCGAGGTAGGAGAAACAGGGATCTTTCTGCAGGAACAAAGACCCTTTACATCTGCTTCCTCTAGGAAAAACGCTAACTAGGGAATAAGTGATAAAAATGTGTGTTTTGAAAATGGAGTTGCATTCTCTCCTGGAACCCAGATGACACTCAAATGCACACAGCCAGCAGAGAAGCGTGGCCAAGCTCTGGGGCATCTGCTAGAAGATAGCCCTTGTCTCTTTACCAGTCTGTATGTCCCTAGAATCGTTAGTACTGATCCTTTCTGCTCAAGTCTACAAGAACATTGTTGTCAAGTTCAGAGACACAAAACCTTCAATGCTTTCTGTAACTGTGGAGTGTTAATTAAGTGATTAGAACTGATTTGTGTGTGTGTGTGTGTATGAGTTATCTACTTTAAGACTTTTGTAAAAGAAAAAAATGAGCTAAAAAACTTCCATATTCAAAACAATTGAGATGCTGGTAATAATCACTATTTATAATAATTATCAATTAAAATACTCCTGCATTCAAATGAGGCTGGGTACAGAGGGAAGAAATAAATTTCTACACAATTTTTTGTTTTTGTTTTTTTTCCCCCTCAGAATTTGGGTTACTCAATCTTAATAACTTGATGCTTTATATAGCAAATGATATTATTAAGTAATTTGTTTTAATAATAATGTCCATTTTGTAAAAAAAAAAAAGTGCCCCCCTTTTTTTTTAAGAGTCAAAAAGGACTAAGAGTCTCTTGGATTGTGTCCCAGCAGTGGCCTTTGTTGAGTGAAGCAGCCTGTGGCCTGGGCAGGTGCCATCTCTAACGTGGAGTCATAGGTCCACAACATTGTGTTTTGTTTGTCCTTCTTTGCTTTCCGAGATCTTGTACTGTTTAATGAGAGCTGGGGAGCCAGGCTGTAATTTATTGGGCACCCAGATGTGACAGTTAAAGTCCATGTACAGAGAATAAAAAACAAAGAAACACAAGTGACCAGAACTAGCTGAGTATCACGACCAACATGAAAACTCAAAAGCATTTGGAACATGTATTCAAAGATGAAAATAAGCCAAGTTAGTCTCATTTTGAGTGAGTTTCATTAGTCGAGAAGTTTTTGTACTTATTATGTCAAAATGTCAAACTAGTCCTTGGCTTTAAGAAAGTAAGTGACTTTCTTTTGTTGGGATTGGGAAACAATGAGATTTCATATTTTCTATCATTTCTACCCAGACTTCACGTATTCCACATATTTATTTGTGTTACCAGGAGGTCTTGAACTGCCTGCAAGTCCTGCCCAGTGACCTAACATCATAGGAATGTGCCAAGTTTGTTTGACCCCGCTTGCAAGTTTAGTTATCCATTAGCTTTTTAAATGTTTTCCCCAAGATGCCGGGATGAGATATCTCCACCAGGCAGGGAGAGGCTAGGGAATGCGCCCACTGCTGTTACAGGGGCGGGCTGTCAGCAGGCCCTGAGGTGTTTGAGTAGGGGAGAGGGACCAGAACTGGGTCTCATACAGAGAGACAGGCTTGCCAGTGGGTTATTAATTCACCAAATGACTAAGTGACCGGCACCCTCCACAATGGGAGAGTCGGTGACTCACCACCTCAGTCAGCAGTAGCGTGTGCACGGGACTCTCCCATTATTCACTTATCTGCACATACGCGGTGCACGTGGACAGAGCTGCGGATCACCGTTTGTCCTGAGCCACCATCCTGCCTCCACTCCCGAGTGAAGGAATGAGCAGAGTGCTGTTCGGGCTAGAGACTTACAGAAACGGCAGTGAAGATCATGTTGATGGCACCGACGCCAATGGTCGCGTACACAGGTTGGCTGATTCCAGCCGTCTGAAAAATGCTGGTTGAATAGTAAAATATCTGCAAAACAAGAACAGGCCAGCCTTAGGCAGGGACCCCCCGCTGAAGTCCTGGAAGCCAGACACATGGCAGCTTATTTTTAGTGTTTGTGGCACCACGATCCCTAGAATCTCCTAAGGTTTACCTCACCCTCTCTGCAGACAAGACTTTCATCAGTGTTTAAAGCTGCTGGCTGCTTAAAAATTCTTGGCTTAGGGTGAAAACTCCATTACTTCATTTCCTTTATTTGTTCAATTTCCAAACTTTTTGTTAATGTATAACATGCCTATAACAGGCACACACAAGCGAACAGCTCAGCTATGTTAGAAACCGATTAGACCCCTTATAAAGAGAGCTCAGGTTAAGAAATACCTCATTTTCAACTCTGAGGAGCCCCTCTATCTTTTTGTCCATTTCCTAAGACAATCACTCTCCCAACATCTGACATGATGGATGGATTTTGCCAAGTCCGGTACTTGATGTAAATGGGAATGTATCATACATATTCTCTTGTTCTGGTTTCTTTTGCTAAACATTGTCTCCAGGAGGGTCCTTGCTGTCCTGTGTGTTTGGATACTGTTCACTGTCTCGACTGTAGAATCTGGTGTACCTGCAAACTGCATTGTAGTTTCCCATCTTACTGATGGCTATTTAGGCACTTGCTCTTTTAGAGTGTTTAGAAATAGTGCTGCTGGGTACATACTTTTTGTTTGCTTGCTTGCTTGTTTGTTTTGAGGCAATGTCTCTCTATGTAGCCCTGGCTGTCTAAGAACTCACTGTCCTTGAACTGATGGAGATCCACCTGCCTCTGCCTCCCAAGGGCTGGGATTAAAGGTGTGTGCTGCCATTCCAGTTATTTTGGTAGAGTAGGTGAGTATATATACCCAGAATTAGAATCCCTAGGTTGTGCTAAATTCAGTTTTGATATAGATGCTGCCAATCAGTTATAAAAACGTGATAAAAGTGTATATAATGGTTCCGGTTTATATTGCATCTATTAATCTGTGTGTCTGTCTATCATCTGTCCATCATCATCATCATTATTGTCATCTCTCTATCGCTCATCTGTGTATCTATCATCATCATCTATCTATCTTTCATCTATCTATCTCTTTATCTGCAGTAGTATATCATCCAAATGGAACCATGTACTTCTTTTTGTGTAAATTCCTAGAAATCCGAGCTTTCATATTCTAAGAGCCTTCTAATTTAGATTGGAGGTTGGCAGGGTTCTTTCAACTAGTGCTTTTTCCTCACCTTGCGTTCATTACAGCTTTTGCCTTTCACTTCTACCCGCCCCCTGTGTGTGGGACATGCCTGTGCAACGCTTGTGTTTGAACACGTGTGCATTACAGTGTGCATGCGAGTGTGAACGGAAGTAAGAGGTCAGTGGTGGGTGTCTTCTTCAGTGGGTCTCTGTCTTAGTTTTTGAGGGCGGGTCTTTTCAAACCTGAAGCTCACTGATTGGCTAGGCTGTTATGCTAATGATCCCGGGGATCAGCACATCTCCCACCCCTAAGCGCTGAGGTTTTATACATAGAAGCAGCTAGACCCTGCTTTGTATGTGGGTGCCGGGGCTCTGAGTTCAGACCCTCATCTTTGCTCAGCGATATGCCAGCTGAGCCACTCCCAGCCCTACTGTCTCCTTCTTAATAGACCGAAAGTCCCGTTGTTAGCTTTAGCAAGCCACCGAAAGAAAGCGAGAGAAATCGGCTATTGTGAAACACGTGTCATAATGACACTTGATGTCAGTGTTTGCAAATGCCTTTCGGTGACTGAAACCTAAGCCTCTTTCTCGCTGTCTCCGCTCCCTTTGCTCGCTGGGCGTCGTGCGTTCTTGGGGCTTACCCCGTTGATTCCGGAGAACTGCTGGGCGGCGTGCAGCATGAGCGCCACGAGGATGGGCTGCCGGTAACCGGAGTCTGTGAAGAGCTGCATCACGGAGACTTTTTGCTCAGTCGATGCTTCCTCTTTTTCTCTTTTCATCTCGTTAATATCTTTGCTGACATCCTCAGTTCCTCTTAGCCTCTTCAAGCCTGTCCCCCAAAAGTCAGTCAGGTTGAAACAACTCAGATCAAGCAAAAACAAGTATTTTTCTTCCAGTCACGATGACACTACAGTTCTTCATGCCCCTTTCTTTGACCTAACAGGGTAGGTAGCGGCAATTCTTTTTTTTTTCTCCCCCTTTTTGGTTAAACTAAATTCTATTTTTTTGATTAAAGAAAGAAAAGGAGAACATTTGACTTCATCTGGAGAGAGAGAGCGAGAGAGAGAACTAGGCTCGAAAGCACAGTTCTGAGAAGGGTCATTGAAGGCTCAGGTTAAGTCCTGTAGGCCACATGTGAGCTGGTGTGAGTGAATGCACAGCACGCCAAACATGTCACAACACAATAGCCATACTAAGTTCTGTGTGTTCTCCTGAGCAATTACAGTCCTCATGTTAATTTTATGAGCACCCATTCACACATACTATATTGTATTGGCCGATAATTCCTAATTAATAGGAACAGGCAATTCCTCACTAAGGACTTACTTTTCTTCGCTTTGACTTCCTCTTCCAACTTTATATAAAGGTATCTGGGGCTCTCTGGACAGAAGAGGAGTAGCAGACACTGCAGGAGAGCTGGTACAGCAGAGAGGCCAAGTAGGATGTGCCAGTGATCCTGATTGCCCAGAATAAAGCTGAGGCCAGCAATCTGGGAAGACAAGGATGGAGCATGAGCTGCACAGAACTCTGGGACCGCCTTCTACAGCAATGCATGAGAAAACATATTGCCTTTTTAATAGTGATCCCTGACACACGTTGGCACAAAAGGGGAGACTATCATTAGGTGAGTCCCATTTCAAACAGACTAAGAAAAAATTGTTAGTAAGGAATTCATCTGTGCTTGTTTTCATTCACTCCAGGAGGATGTTTATTCTGGAGATCAGTACAACTTTTAAAAACACATTTATGCCAAAAGCAAAACACACAGTGTTCTTGCAAGCAATGAGATGGAATTATACTGTTAGAATCACTGTCAAGTGTGGTGATGTGTGTCTGTCAAACCAGCCCTGGGAGAATAGAGACAAGCAGATCCCGGGAGCTTGGGGGCCAGTCAGTCTATCCAAAACAGCAAGCTCAAGTTCAGAGACTCTCTTGAAACAAGGTAGAGAGTGACAGAGCAGATGCCTGACATCTGCTTCTGGCCTCCATAGCCTCACCTTGTGCATGCACGTGATCATTACATGGTACATACAGAGGGGGTGGGTCATGACCCCAGGCTTTGCTTTAATATCCCCTCCTAGCTCATGCAGAACTTAAAATATTTCAGAGATAGAGCAATTCCATAATTATGACCAGCATTAGGGCAACAATTACATAATAAGGACCATGTTTATGATACCTGCTGCAATAATTTCCATACTTCCTTTTAGATATCTCAATTGTGGGGTTCCAAAGATCCTTCTGAGGACAGAGGAAAGAAAAGAGAGAGAGAGAGAGAGAGAGAGAGAGAGAGAGCCAGCTGAAGAGGGCTTTTTGTAATAATTGTTTGGATTTAAATTTCCAGACAACTCACTCAAAGCACAGAAAACTCAGGCAGTCAAAAATCTGGAGTTGGCTGTTTTATCTTTATTTTGGAAATTCAAAAGTTAATTCTAGGAAAGCACTGGGACTTTCACATGTATTGCTGAATCTCACCAACAACTCCAAGTAGGATGTAAGAAGTGGTAATAATTCACCTTAGAGCTAAAAAGCCTACTTTTTACACTGCCTCTTTTACTACTGTTGGAAACAACACTTCCAGCCCCTCCCTGGCCATGGCAGTCTGCAATGAGAAGTGACAGTAGGGAGAGAGGACATGAAGTAGAAGGTGGTTAAAATAAGGGGCAGGAGATTTTACCTGACTAATAAGAATGCCTGTGACAAGGGCCAGTTGGTGAAGAGTGCCCAGGGCACCCCTGAGCGTGGTTGGAGCGATTTCACCAATGTACATTGGAACCAGTCCTGAAATTAGCCCTGTGTGAGACACAAAACATATAAATGTCAAACGTCACTCCCCAGGTGTTTTGGAGGAACCCTTGTCTCCAAACATGGGCACAGTTTATGCAGAAACCTTTGGTTGATATTATAGTAAATGAAGGTGTAGTTGGAAGTATTAATGGAAAAAATACTTCTTTTTGGTAGTTTCCATTGCTGGAAAAAAAAAAAGAAAATTTTACTTTAAAATTTTTCATGTTAGTGTTTAGTTCATAGTGGCTTAGGTTGTCTTGAGAAAAGAGCCTAGAGGATGTGTTAGTAATCATGCAAATTTGTAGGATTAACGGAAGTTACATCAAGGAACGCCAACCTCCTGATAGAGGCAAGAATTGACTCACAGTGGAGTAGAGCTCTACACACAGGTTCTGTGCCTAGCTTCCATGCTTAGCTGAGTCCACACCAGATAGGGATACCTCAAGATCTCTGCCAGGTCGTATTGAGACACAGAAGTGAGAAGAGGATAAGGAACCCAAAAGCTTTTTCCCAGCTGCCCAATAAAGACAACCTAACTTCTTTATTGCATCAAAAATCTTAGGCTTCAAATACCAAATGCAAGAACACATCAAAAAGATCATCACCAAGGTTAAGTAGGCTTCATCTCAGAGATGCAGGGATGGTTCAATATATGAAAATCTGTCAATGTAACCTACCATATAAACAAATTAAAATGGGGGAAAAAACCTGTATGATCATCTCATTAGATGCTGAGAAAGCCTTTGACAAAATCCAACACCGCTTCATGATAGAAGTCTTGGAGAGATTGGGGATATAAGGGACATACCTAAACATAATAAAGGCAATTTACAGCAATTCAATACCCAACCTCCAAATGAATACAGAGAAGCTCAAAGAAATTCAATTAACAGGAACAAGACAAGGCTGTCCTCTTTCTCCATAGCTCTTCAACATAGTACTTGAAGTTCTAGCTAGAACAATAAGACAACTGAAGAAGATCAAGGGGATCCAAATTAGAAAGGAAGAAGTCAAAGTGTCACTATTTGCAGATGATACGATAGTATAGATAGTGACCCCCAAAATTCTACCTAGGAACTTCTACAGGTGATAAACACTTTCAGCAAAGTGGCTGGATACAGAATTGATTAAGAAAATCAGTAGCCCTCCTGCATACAAATGACAAATGGACTGAGAAAGAAATCAGAGAAACAACACCTTTCACAATAGCCTCAAATAATATAAAATATCTTGGAGTAACTTTAACCAAGCAAGTGAAAGACTTGTATGACAAAAACTTCAAGTCTTTTAATAAAGAAATTGAATGAGAATCAGAAGATGGAAAGATCTCCTATGCTCATAAGTCAGTAGGACTAACAATAAAGATGGCCTTCTTACCAAAGGCTATCTACAGATTTTATTTGAAAACAGACTTAAACACAAAGATTTTGAAAACACTGAGCCATTATGCTTTTTATTATCTTTTTAAAAAATTACATTTGATTATTTATTTATTTAGTGTGGGGTGTGTTTCCATCTGTCTGTCCATGTGAAACACGTTAAAATGCCAGCTCAGAGCCATCAGAATAAAGGGTTCTTTGACACTGAAGAGTCCAGTATCTGTCCATTTGTTTGTGTTTGAATTTTCCTGTTCGTATTAGGACTCCTGCCTCTAAAGGTTTGAAATCCTGTTTCTAAAAACTAGTGCTGATTCTCAAATAGGATGTTTAAGGGAAGAAGGGCTCCATTAGCTGTTTCTGTCAATTCCCTCTCCCTATGGACACCACAGTTTTATTGCTCCAGGCAGCCATGTCTGAAATCAAACAGCGTTAGGTGGTATGGTCTAAAAAAATGAGGTAGGGCCTTAGCAATGAAAGATAGAGCCACCATAACATAGGACATAAGTGCAGGGGTAGGACATGAGTGAAGACAGCAGTGTCCAGCTGTTGGTTGCAGCACAGGAAGTGTAGCAACAGCTAATGTTCATCTACAGTTCATATCTGCCATGCTCGACGCTTTACATATATTCTTCACTTCCACTAGAGGCAGATGTCATTGTCATCGTCACTTTGCAGGCAAGGAAAGAGAGAATCAGTTAAATAATCTGTCTAAGATCAAACACAGACACAGACAGCGTCACAGTTCACTCTGTGCCCCATCGCCTTCCTTCCGCGATGCCGTGTTAAGTCCCACGAACCTCTGCCTAGACTAACTTTGACAAGGAAGTGTATGTGTGTCACTCACCACAGTACAGTCCTGATATGCTTCTTCCGGCAATGATGAGGATGTGTGATGGTCCGAGTTTGGAGCACCCCATCAAGAGGGCTCCAGTCAATGACAGACTGTTTGCTGCCAGCATGGCTTTGATCCTGAAATTTTACAAACAGCTTTAAATTCAGAACCAAAATGGGAAGAAATTACTTGTCTTCAGACCACGTTGAGACTTTTATCTATAAATAATTATAGTTATTGCTAGTTCAGGATTCTTGAAGCATGCCTGCTACTTCCTTATCTATGAGCTGATGTATGAGGATTCATATTAGGAGGCATGCATCCACTTGCCTCTTATTTTCACAGAGACAGTTCCTTTGTTTTGCTTTGTTTTTGTGTTTTGGAGATGAGGACATCACTCTCTAGCCTTGGCTAGCTGGACCTGTAGCCCAGGTTATCCTTGAACTCTCAAGAGATCCTCCTGCCTCAGCCTCCAGAGTGCTGAGATTCTAGGTGTGAACGTAAGACGACACTTCTGATACTTATTCAGTTATTTGATTTTTTTTATAACTTGTTCATTAAAAGAAAATCAGTGTTTTTGGTGGCAGAAAAACTGATTTCTGTAGTTTCTACCCATCATTTATCTCTTTGTGGTTAGGCTGACAGTAAAGGTTTTTAGGTGCTGCTTTGAACTTAAACTTTCTTCTGGGGGCATTGTTCAGAAGTAAAATGTCTTCTAAAGCTTATTACAATTATCCTCATTTTCACATAAGGTCAGCATATTTCTCTGTAAAATCTACGAATTAATATTAGCCGAATGTAAAGAATTACATTATTTTTGAGACAGACTTTCATTCCAGAGTCTAGGCTGGCGTAGAATGCACTCTGTTGCCTAGCCTGGTCTTGAACTCATGGCAATTCCTAAGTTTGAACCTTCTGGGTGTTAAAAGTATAGGCATGAGCCACCATATCCACCTGCTGTAAAATAAATTTAAAGGTGACAATAGCAATCAAAACATCACTGACAAATGTGATCATATGAAAACCACACACAAGCGTTCTTGAAAGTTAAGCCAAAAGTCACAAAGCCAGGGCAAGAATCTAAGCAGACAGGTTTGGCAGTGTTCATGCCATGGTGACATGTAAGACCCTTGCTGTGTCCACGTTGTCATTTGTCCATCGGTGTCTCAGGCTCTGATGTCAAATGGGCTTTGTCTAAGCAAGTATCTTCAGGTCCACGCATACTTTTTCCTTAGACAATAAAAGTAGGTCTCTACACTGCAGTAATTGCCTAATAGCCATGTGGTGGGCTCAACGGGGTCCCCCAAGAGCCTAGTCCTCAAGCTCTGTAAATGTCACTGTGTTCAGCAGAAGGGGTTTTGCAGATGTGATCACAGTAAGAGTCCTGGACAGAAAGAGTATCTTGGGATATTCAGGTAAATGCGATGAAATCATTTCATAAGAACATGGCTTCGGAATTTGGGACTTAAAAGGTATTTAGGTGTTGAGAGTTCAGTGAGCTGTTCTGCAAGAGCTTCAAAGATCAAAAATGTCAAAGACAATGCAGAAGATGAAGGACTGGCTTGTGAAGTTTTAGAGGGAAGTGGAAAGATTCTATTGGGGCCATATTTTAATTTGAATTAAGGATCTGTGGTTCTGGTTAGCTGGGGCTGAAGAATCAGCTGTGATTAACAAGATGCCAGAACTAAAGTGAAACCTTTGCTCTGCTGGGATCCTCAGGGCTGGTTAGCTGGAACTGAGAAACTAGCGGTGATTAAGGAGACGAGTATCATGGAGATGAAAATCTTCTGGAAAGTGTTTCCTGAGAGTACACCGAAGCTGTGTTCTAGAGGCATTCAAGGTTGTAACTCGTGCTAGCAGCTGAACTTGCTTGATTCATCCAGGTAGTACTGGATTTGAAGGCTTGAGGCAGCCGAGGGCTTGGGACTGTGAGAGGTCAGGAGAGGCTGTTGGTGAAAGTGCAGCCATAGTGGCAGTTGAAGGCTCAGGGTTGAAGGAGTCATGCAGAGACGTTGGCCCTTGGCACCACCAAGATGGCCTATGAGAGGCTGTTGGTGAAAGTGCTGTCCAGCTGCAGCTGAAGTTCCTAGCATTAAGTAGGTGCCGGTACCGTGGATGACCACCAAGAACAAGTCGTGTGTGCTGCAAAGCGGAGTCAGAGAAGTGACCCAAACCATTTGGAGGAGAAGAGAGTGAGTGAATCCCAGACATTGGACATGGCATTATTTATGTAGTTGGCGTCTGGTTTCGCTGAGTTCAGATTGTGACTCTGCCCTTGTTCTTCCCTCTCGAAATAAGAAAGAATTTAACCTAATTTTGATTTTATTACAGGAATCCACAGTTGAGAGATTTCCAACTTTTAAAAGAGATTTTGGATTTTTTAAAGAGAACGTGTGTGTGTGTGTGTGTGTGTGTGTGTGTGTGTGTGTGTTAAAGGGACTGAATTTTTAATGTGTTTGAATTTGTAAAGACTATGGGACTTTTTAAAGATGGGAGGGGGCTGAGAGCAAGGGATGAGGGGGTACAGTATCAAGTGGCCAGGACAAGGAAGGATTTACCTCTGTTGACACCTTGGCTTCAGTCAAGTACAATGGATGTTAGAATTCTGATCTCCAAAATTGAAGGGAAATAATGTATATTTGTGGGGGTCGCTAGGCTGGTGATAATTCATTACGGCGGCAACAGGATGTAAGAAAATCACAGGCTACCTTAAAGCAGGCAGTGTTCTAGCACTGGAGAGCACCGAAACTTTAAACTGTAAACTTTAAACTATTTAGTAGTCAGGTGAGGTAATGCACTTCTTTAATTCCAGTGCTTGAGAAGCAGAGGCAGGCAAACCTCTGTGAGTCTACAGATAAAACTGGGAGTTTTCTAAACCAAGGATGTTATGGTGGTGTGAGCTTCGTTAGATATTTGAATAGTGGATTTTTTACATTTTTATTGTTCCTTGAGTTTTCTATCATTTCAGTAGAAGAAAATACTGGAATTTTAATAATTAGTGAGCCCCAGGCTACAATTTATAGAAGGAAATGGAAAGATGAAATGAATCAGAATCCAGCATTATTACGCTAATTACCAAACTGCTTTTTTTTTTCTTCTTTCAATTTTTTTTTTTTTTGCAGTTCCTAAGTTTTCCGAGTGTTAATTCTAGTGTGAAAACAAAAGGTAATTAACACACACAAACATTGGATTCAGTTAACAAAAAAAATCAATGTAAAAAATAGTAACTTGCTACTCTAACTTTCTCAGAAGCCTAACGATTTTGGTACATCTGTTGGCAAGTGTCTGAAGGCAACCAACTCCACTGATTTTTGCCGTTGTTTTGTTTTGTTTAAATTTTGAGTGTGTGTGTCTGGTGGTGGGTGTGAACAAGTGTGAGTGAAGGTGCTCTGGGAGGCCATGGATGTGAACTGGGTCACCTGTAACTAGAGTTGCAAGCGGAGGATTCTGGGAACCGAATTCCGGGGCACAGCAAGCACAGTATTTCCTCTTAGCCACTCAGCCATGGCTGCCCTCATGACAATGATGTTTTTGATCCAAAACATGGAATGGGAACTGGAGTTGGGAAGTGCTTCCTGAACTTCATCTCTGGCTGGGGCTTTGGGTTAGCAGCAGGGGGTGGCAGCCATGTGCCCTGTGTGCAGTGACTTGTCAGGATATGAAGGTGGTCATAGGACCTGAGTAATGCCAGCGTCAAATTTTAATTCAAAACTGGAAATAACGTTTGAGAACCGGTGGAACATGGTGGAGCTTTCCTTGTGAGTTTTAAAACTTACAAAGCCAGGTGATCAAACTATCTGGAAACAAACCCCGAACTCGCTTTCCGGCAAACACTTCCATAGTAACTAAGACTTACCAGAGGATTATATCAATTCTGTTGATTGACCCAATGGTGACCTAGCTCAGAGGATTACAAGTTGAAAAACCACTGTAAAACGAGGCCATGAATGGGAAGACAGCATCTCTCTGTAAAAGTTCTGGCAATAACAAAATACCAAGGCTGTGTTTATATTTATTTATGAAACTTACCTTCCAAGCTTGTCCCCTAGCCACCCACCAAAGAATGAGGCGACCATTCCGCCCACTGCGAAGCTGGACACAGACAGAGACCAGAGCATAGTGATTATGTGAGCAGATCCTGCAGTCTCTTCTTCCACCCAGGCGGTTGGTGTAGCATATGCTGGCGTGACTATGAACGGTGGGTCAGTGCCATTGACAGCATCATTACTGGTAGCTCTTCGGTCGTCCACTTCAACACCCAAAACATGTCGATAATGGGATATTATTACCTGAGGAAACAGAGGGAAAAAAAAAATCCATGACTTCAAAATTCCACACACAGCATTTGATTCGCCTTGAACTGTTTGTTGGGCGTTTAGATAGGGCATCCTAATTATGTGGCGCTGCATGTACGTATTTGGGTAGACTGATTTACAGCTGGCTGTGTCCTATAAAACAGAGATGACGAACAGAGCCAACGAGAGCGAGGTGGGAAGAGATGCCCGAAAGAAGTTGAGTATGTAGGAACAGCACCCTGATGACAGCAGCTGCTGGGCTTTGTGGTGTGGTAGCCTGTGTGCCAGCTAAGCAAGGAGGCTGCAGAGGGCAGTCTCATGAATGCATAGCCTTAGATTTTTTTTTTAAAGACCTGCTAAAGATCTTGGCTTTTATGAAAAGCTTTCCAAGATTTAAATGTTGACAGCTATTTACAGGTAATTCTTCAGGTAGAGAAGAATGGGTTTTTATACCAGTGTTTGTTTTTCACAAAAGATTTAACAGTAACATAAAAGTAAAAAGAAAAACAAACTACAGTAAAGTTCAGAGTGAAAACTAAAGTTAGAACCATATAAAATTCTAGCACTGGGTGTTATATCCTTGGTAGAAGTGACGTATAAACTTAGTCATGACTTTTGAGCAGTTAACGCAGATAGATCCAAGTGGGCACGTCTAGAGTTAATGAGTTTTCAAGATAAAAACACCTCAGATATAACTGAGAAGGTACAAAGACTTCTCTTATGGGCCCCCAGGTCAGCATATCCCAGAAGGAACAGTCCTTAAAGCTTACTTTCTAGCCACATTTTATATGCTGCCTCTATAGCTAAGAGTACACATCAAAACTGACCCTAGAAGCAGGGCCTTTTCCTCCACCTCATTCCCAGCAGTAACTTGATCACTCCTCAGCCCCACTAAACTGGGGAGTTCCTCCCACTATGAATAAAGTCCTGTTTGGTAAAGCAAGCTGAGCAACAGCAAGATGTGACATCCTCTTATAAAACATCTGGCCAAGATGGCAGTCTAATAGACGGCTGCCCTACAGAGACCATACGCATAGAAAAAGCCTGAAAGTCAATATGCAAACTGTTCTTGGCAGTTCAATATATGGCATAGAAATAGTTGCAGGTGATTTTATCTTGTTTTCTCAATGGGCAAGTGTAATTTTTAATGCTCATGAAAAATTATGATTTAAAAAATCTTCAAATATCATGCAACCAGGAGAAAATGCTAGTAGGGTCCCTGTTTTTAGTTCTGACTCTGGGCATGGATTCAAGAAGGGCCTATCTCAGCCCAATTTATATGACAAGACTAGAGAGGACGGTTTGAGTGGGGATGTAAGATGGGACGTCCAGAAAGGAAGGAGTGCGAGGTTGATCTGGATTTCAGGAGGCTTGCCAAAGTGACACACTCTTTCACCATCCATAGAAAGACCCCCACTCTGGTCTCCTGACCCCCAAGCGATAGTCCCTGATAGCCAGAACGAGAGGCTTGGTATGATCAGGATGAAGCGCACTTAGTGAGAAAGCATCTTTCAGGCCACGGAGCCCGGAGAGCGTCTCTGTCAGCTAATGGACTGTGGACAGTGCACACCCCAGGTGTGACCTTGCGGCGTCTTACATTCTCCTTAGGGCTGTAAGAAAAACAGATAAAATGATACAACGTGATGGGTCTACTTACAGCACCCAACACACCTGCACTTCTCCTTTCCTTACGGCACTCCTTCCCGGGTGCATCTGCTCCCAGTCTGAGATGGAGCACAAGGGCTTGGGTCTTGATCCCCTGATTAAGGGCTTGTGGCAGCTGGGAACAGTGAGATCTCTCCCTGAGGTTTTAGTGCATAACAGAGAACAGATCACAGAATACACAGAGAAATGGCAGGATCTATCCATATGTTTCCTCCCAAAGTGCCTCGTACTTTCTCCACCACAATGGAGAAATTCCAAACTTTTTGGACCCCTTGACTGTTGCTCTAATGTTGTGCTGAAGGTCTATGGGAGATGGGTAGAAGGGAGGGTAGAAATTGTTTTAGTGTCAGGTTTCTGAAGTTTCTAACCTGCCATAAAAACGTGTCTCAGGTTGGGATGATACGGTTGTGGAAAGCCTGATGCGATTTACATAGATGCTTATGGGCGTTCACTGAGTGGGACACGTCCTTCGGCTGTTTGCACTTGCTTCCTGGCATTTTTCATTCATGCTTGGACAGCTGTGACCGAATTCTGCAAGGAATTCTTGCCTTTAGACTTCCTGAGCAGGGGGCATTGAGTTAGCATTTTCTCTGAGCTAGGAGAACAGCAGTGTCAGAGATCAAATATACACTGGTCTTTTTTTTTTTTTCTTTTTTTTTTTTATTTTTTCAAGTTTTGCAATGTATGAAATATTGTGAACACTCTCCTTATGAACCCCACCACCTCACTGAGTACAGGGCTCCTGGGAATGGCTGTGGGAGGGAGGGAACTAGAGCCTGTAGGAAGGCCATGGAGCAGAGGCGGGGGCTGAGGCGGTGGGAATAGGTCCTTCAAGCTTTGTGTTTCATCCCTCAGATCACTGGAACCCTGGCTTTCACTGTCTTCACTTGCCTCCTGAGGTGCATTGATCACACCAATGTCATATCCAAACTGGAAGGAACTCAGCACGGCAGTGAAGACAGTGAAAGCCAGGGTTCCAGTGATCTGAGGGATGAAACACAAAGCTTGAAGGACCTATTCCCACCGCCTCAGCCCCCGCCTCTGCTCCATGGCCTTCCTACAGGCTCTAGTTCCCTCCCTCCCACAGCCATTCCCAGGAGCCCTGTACTCAGTGAGGTGGTGGTGTTCATAAGGAGAGTGTTCACCATTTTTCTTACATTGCTAAACTTGAAAAAATAAAAAAAAAGGAGCCCACAAAACAAACAACCCTCAGACCACAGCAGGACAGCTTTTCCAGGGTACAAACTTACCCTTTGCTTCTGATATACTTGTGAATGCACACACACACACACACACACACACACACACACACACACACACACACAAGGAAAGAGAGGGAGAGAGACTGGGGACAGGGGAGAGGAGTACAGAGAGGTAGAGAGGAAAGCAAATATCATAGACCATGCAGGTTTTGAACTCCCTGGCTTGTAGTGGAAGATGACACTGAACTTCCGATCTGTCTTTACCTACAGAGTGCTAGAATTGTAGGCATGCAGCACCATACCCAGTGTATGGGCTTGGAGGGGACAAACTCATACTTTCAGGTGAACACTTCAGCAACTGAGTTTAATCCCAGCCCCAAATCAATATTTTTTCGAGATTCAAAGTCAGAATTGAGAATTTGAATGGCTGATAAAGGGAAAAAAGAACTCTTAGCACAGAAACAGTTTTGCAGCAGTATTGGTGAGAGATGAGTGCTTTCCAGACAGTTCCATGCCACAAAAGCATGCAACACTCTTCTAAGACTCATCACCTTTAGAGGATCTGAACAGCACCAAGGCAAGAGTACCTTTCAGAATTCCCTGTGGCTGAGCCTTGAGTTGTGAGTTAAGCTATATTGCTTTCTCACCAGCTTGAGGAAGCTACACTAGCTGCAGAACATTCTACTCACAATTAACTAGCCATCCAGTCAGCCAACAGGAATCATGAATATGAATTCACAGATCAGGGTTTCTCCAACAGCCACTCGCAGAAAGAGCCCCAATGCCATTCAACAGTGATGGTCAAATAGACTCACTCATACCATGACACACCTCAGATACAAACAACACACTGTGCAACAGCTCAAGAGAGTGAGTGATGTGAACAGATGTATTGGCCTTTGTTATTGCTTGTTGTTTTTTTTTTTTTTTTTCTGTGTGTGTGTGTATAACAACCATCAAATGTTTATTTCTGGATACACATTTTTAGTAGTGACTTTGCATGCTTTGTTTCTTTAACTTTTATTTTTTATATTAATTTCAGTTTATTCACTTTGTATCCCAGCTGTAGCCCCTTCCCTCATTCCCTTCCAACCCCACCCTCCCTTCCTCTTCTCCCATGCCCCTCTCCAAGTCCACTGATAGGGTAGGTCCTCCTCCCCTTCCATCTGATTGTACTCTATCAGGTCTCATCAGGACTGGCTGTATTGTCTTCCTCTGTGGCCTGGTAAGGCTGCACTCCCCTCAGGGGGAGATGATTAAAGGGCCAGCCACTGAGTTCATGTCAGAGACAGTCCCCGTTCCCCTTACTAGGGAACCCACTTGGATACTGAGCTGCCATGGGCTACATCTGTGCAGGGCTTCTAGGTTATCTCCGTGCATGGTCCTTGGAGTATCAGTCTCAGAAAAGACCCCTGTGCCCAGTATTTTTTTCTCTCTCTCCTTGTGGAACAATTGTCCCCTCCAGGTCTTTCTATCTCCCCTTTCTTTCATACATTCCCTGCACTCTGCCCAAAGTTTGGCTATGAGTCTCAGCCTCTGCTTTGATATCCTGCAGGGTAGAGTCTTTCAGGGGCTCTCTGTGGTAGATTCCTGTCCTGCTCTCTGTTTTTTCCCTCTTCTGCTGTCCATCTTGTATGCCTTTCTGAATGAGGATTGATCATCTTACCCAGGGTCCTCCTTCTTGATTAGCTTCTTTAGGTATACAGATTTTAGTATTTTATTCTATATTATATGTCTAATAGCCAATTATAAGTGAGCATATACCATGTGTGTCTTTCTTCTGATTCATTGATGTGTGTGTGTGTGTGTGTGTGTGTGTGTGTGTGTGTGTGTGTGTGTGCTAGGAATAAGACCCAGTGCATTATGCATGCTAGGGAAACCCTGCCTCCAAGCTGCAGCTCTAGCTCATTAATGCTTTTAAAAGGACTCACACACAAATGCTGTTTGACTTGTACATAAAATGATTCCCTGAAAAATAAAAAAGTGAATATGAGGCTAGAGAAATGGAGGTAAGAGGAATGTTTTTAAAAATGATACTGCTAGATATTTTATAGGGAAATGTTGTTCATGTCATCACATGATTTAACATTTTAACCAAAGAGCACAGGATATGACAGGTGTTCTGCCTGGTGAGTGATAGGTCACATCAGCAGGGATTTTGTTTCCTTGCTTTGTTGTTGTTTTACCCCAAATCACACTGTCTATTTCCCTTATAGGATCTTTGTTTTTTGCCTGAGTTGTGAGGTTGTAAATCTCTGTACTCCAGCATGAAGAATAAATAATTATCTTAGACCCCCAATCTCTAATAAACTTCCAGCTCAGTGTCATCAACAACAAAGTATCACTGGGTCTTCTTAGGGACCCTACAAATGTCAGACCACTGACTCTGAAACAATACTCTCCTTTGGGGACTTTGTACAGGTGTATCTCTTAGAGCCCTCTCGGTCCCCACCCCCAAGTCTTTCTATTGGCGCAGAATCTCACTTGGGTACTGGACTCTGTAGGTTTACACAGTTCCCTTCTTTTTACTAGCTTTAGGTGACCTTTATGCAGGCTGGTCCTGTCAGCAACTTTGTTTCCTGAAAGGATTGCAGAACAGGCAGAAAGATATTCTTTCTCCCTTTCTCTTTCTCTCTCTCTTTCTTTCCTTGTCTCCCTCTCTCTCTTTCTCACCCTCCAAAAATACATGCATGCACTCATATGTCACATATATTATATATTTATTACAACTAAAGAATATGCTTATATTTACACATAAGATTGGCTTATACACAGGAAAGTAATATTTAAAACATGCGTGCATATTTTATGGCATACAAACTATATGGCCTATAATGTATAGGCTGATACAAGGTTTTGAATGACTTTCTAAACCGTAGTGAGGCATCTAAAACTCAGAAAATCAGAGCTAAAATGGGATTTTATTTACTGTGTGAGTGGTTCATCCCCAAGTCATCTTCCCTTCAAGCTGTTTCTTTTTTTTCCCCTCTTTGTTTACAGAACATAATTACCAGCAGCAGCGAGGGACCAGTACTTTAGGCAGGCTTTAGCACACTCTGCATCGCAACAGTATAGATGTAGCACAAACAGAGCTCCAGAGCCCAGTGCTGGTGAGGTTTCCGTGTGCCTAGTTGTTCTCTACATGGCTTATCGCACTTATTCCCGCCATTCATTTTCCATCGATGCATTAAAAATTTCTACCAATTCAGTGGCTTAAACAATGCAACCCAATCTGCCTTACAGGTCTTCAAGTTAGAGGCTTAGTCTGCATCTCTGCAGACTGAAATCAACGTTAGTAGACAGTGTTCTTGTCTGGAAACTGTATAAGAAAACATTTAGTTGATCACAGAATTTGCTTCATGGTGGTAGGGCTTTGAGGTTTCCTACTGGCTGTGAACTGCCCTCTCAGTTGCAGAGGCTGGCATGCTCCCTGGCTACAAATGTTCTTCCTCTGTCCTCACAGCCAACAATGGCAGGTCATGTCCTTGTCATATTGCATCCCCTCAGATCTTGGCAAATTCTTCACTTTCAGGTAAGCATAATGTTTGATTTAACACCTCTGGATGAGCCAAGAACATATCTCCTCATCTCAAGGTCCTTAGCAGATACTGTATCTGCAAAGCCGTCTAGATGGAATGGCTGTCTATCCAGTCTGAAAAGTTTTGTTTATGACAGGGAAATTTTATGCAAACTACTAAGCGCAAAAATGTCCCAACTACCCTTATCTACCCATTCTAGTGGCAAAGAGATTGGTATAGGCATAAAGCTAAGAAAAGTGATGAGGACTCAGAGGGGATCTCTCTCAGGACAGGATTGGAGTTCCTAAAGGGTTTGTCTATTCTCTCAAAGTGGAAGAAAGTCTCTTTCTACACTTCTTCACAGGCCGTGAGACACTAGGCTGGAAACATTTTTAAAAGCCAATTTTTACTTGGGGATTAATAAACTTTGGTTAGGGAAACTAGTTTTCATGTCCAGTTTAAAATATACTGCAAATAAACGTGGAAGGATAGAATAGAAAAAAGCATAAGGTCGACCAGATGGCTCAGGTGCCACCAAGCTTGATGACAACTTGTGTTCAATGCTGGGGACCCACGTGGTCACATGGCAGAAAGTGAGAACTGACCCCTAAAAGTTGTCTTCTGTGCCTGTGCACACCACACACACACACACACACACACACACACACACACACACACACACA